TGTGACGGGAGCCCTAAGAATCGAAGCCAACGCGGGAAAGCAAAACAGAGCAGGACTTCGCAGACCAATGGATTTCAGAATTTGTACCATCGGCTCTAATTTGATCGATCCAGACGCAGATCACAGAGTAACCAAATCAAAGTTCACACGACTCTTAAAGCACTCGATCTCGAAGAGTTTGTTATGAAAAAAAATGGTTTCATTGATTTAGATAATATGTATTTATACAGATTTTAAACTTTAAATGAGAGATTTTTTTTGAACATATACTCAAATTATATATTTAAATCTTTTACTCAAATCTATGGTTGATCTTCAAATCATAGGTTGATTGAGGATCAGAGTACATAAGGAATATAAAATTATCATTTCATATTTATCGTTTCATATTTACTTATCATGATCTTCTATCATGTCCCTATAAGATAAAGCTTCTGTCAAGGATGTTAATCTTTGATCGATACAACTGAAATATCCTACAAGCAAACAAATATGTGAGGAAGTCTATTAGTTAATAAACAAATATGAACTGAGAAACATGTAATTAACGTATAACAACTTAATCTATAATAAAGAAGAAGTCAATAATTGTATTTCATGTGTGAGTGGAATACTAGGTTGGCGCATAGATATGTGGCACTAATATTATCTTTGTATATTATAGGAATAGATTGGGAGGTGATTCCAAATTCATGTAGTAAATTGGTAACCCAATTGCATTCTATAATAATAGTAGTGATGGCTTATTATTCAACTTTAGTAGTACATCTTGCGACTATGTGATATTTCTTAGAACTCTAACTAATCAGATTTGCTCCAAGAAAAATAATATAGGCTAACATAGATGTTTAATCATTAGTGCTTGCCCTAGCAACATCAATAAAAGCATAGAGATGAAGTTATTAGTGTTTATGAATAAAAAGTCTATAATTGAGAGTCCTTATAAAATATTGCAAGACATATTTTAGTGTAGATCAATGCACAATGGAGGATTGATACATGCATTATGATAATTTATTGATTACAAATGAAATATCTAGACGTATGAGAGATACGTACTACAAGAACTAAGTACTTATTGGTATTGTGTGAGATCCATAATAGTAAAATTATTATGAAATAATTTGAGTGACTTAGTGGTGGAGAGTAAGGTGGAGATTTCTTTTATAGTATTTATATTCATATACCTCTTTTAAGATAGAAAATGTGTATAAGATATGAGCATTGTTTCTACTCCTAGAAAATAGCTTAAGGTTCCTAGATTTTTAATGAAGAATTCATCAGCTAAGTACTTAAAGAATTATTTAATCTTCATGAAATTATTGCCTGAAGATAATATCATCTACATAGACAATTAATACAACTCTTTTACTATTATCGGAATAAAGAGGTATTAGACTTGGAGTTAACGAAGTCAATTAACATAAAAAATGAGCCAAATTCAATGCTAAGCTCTTGGAGCTTAGTAAAATCCATAAATATTTTTTGTAGTTTACAAACATTGTTTGGATATTAAGAGTGAATGAAAATAGGAGGTTGTTGCATAAAGACATCTTCAATTAAGGACGGTAAGAAATTATTGTTAGCATACATATCAGCTTTGAGTGATAACGAAACTTAGGATGAGTCGAATTATCATCGATATAATAATTTATTAAGAGTCTATACGAAATCAACAACTAATCATTGGTGAAATCCTTTAGCCACTAGACGTGCTTTGTATCTTGTAATGGATCTATTTTGGTTTCACTTAATTTGAAAGATTCACTTACACCTGATGACATTTTGCATGAGATGAGATAGTACAAAGGTCTATGGGACATTATGAAGTAGAACATCATATTCTTCACATATGACTTTATGCCACTCTGGAGATTTTTTGGTCTTAGGTGATAGTTATGGGCTCAGTTGAAAAGCTTGTGATAGCACGAAGATCAAAGATTTGATATGGTTTAAAGATATCATTTTTGGAGCATGTTGTCAAATGATTCCTAGACTCGATTGTATTATTAGGTTATATTGAAGGTATAAGAATTGGTGAAGAGTTAGTGACACATACTTAATCAGATTGATGTACTTCGATGTCACTTGATTGAGGAGAGGACAAAGATATCATTTATAATGCCAAGGGCATTGCTTCATTGGGCATTGTAGAGTGAGTTAGTGGAGAGGTAGATGAAGTTGCAGAGAAGGTGAGGTGCTGTTGAACTAGAGTAATAAGAGAGTACAGGGTTAGATGAGAACTATTGATTGATATGGTAAGAGGTGCATTTGAGAAAATTCAGCGATTGACAAGAAGGGGACGAGGACGCTAGTGAAGATGTTGGGTAGTAGGCATCAACGTAGGAATAGAGGGAACGCTTGTCAAGTAGAACTAAACAATAATGGAGGATCATTGGAGAAGCAAGTTAATCATTAGAGGAGGATAATTAGATTGATAAAGTGGAGTAGATATATTGTAGAGTATATCATACCAGGAGATTGATAGGGAGGAGTCCCATGTCTTCATCTTCAGTACAATACTAAAATATGAAATCGAGGAGCAAAAAATCGAGAGTTATAAAATAGCAACATAGAGGGCAAGAAAGAGGAATAACAATAGTTAACAGATCAACGGGGTAACGAGGAAGAGAGAGCCTTGCTTAAAGCAAGAAGACTCTGATACCATGAAGAATTGAAGAATTTTTTGTAAAAGAGATGATATTATTTATTAAGGTAGTGTGTATTTATATAAATTTTTAAAAAAATATTTTTTTAATTATACACTCGAATCATACATCTAAATTATGCACTTAAATCTATGAATGATCCTCAAATCATAGATTAATTAAATATTAAAATGTATAAGAAATATAAAATTATCATTTCATATTTATCCCTATCACCCGAGCAATAGTAGTCCTATCTCTACTTGTTAACTATATTATATAAGTTTATATAAGATATAATCACAAAATTAATATTTGAATTCTGATTTCTGTTCTCCTTATTTCTCTATCAAATCATCTTTTCTTCTTCTCTCAGTGGTATGTATTTGTTGATGCTGGTGGTGGTGGTGCTGTTGGGGGATGAGGGAGGTGGTGTTGGGTGGGGGGAGCACACTTGACTGTCCTTGTTGGATTTACTGGTATCTGCCATAGTTTCAGGAGACATTGCAGGAATTCTACTAAGCTTGTACAGAATTTATCAGCGCACCCTTTTCCAGCTTGCATGCAGACTCTCCATTGATCTGCTTTCAGGACCATCCCTCCTGCCCTAAAGCCTGTTTACCCACCTTCTCTCTCTCTCTCTCTCTCTCTCTCTCTCTCTCTCTCTCTCTCTCTCTCTGTGGAGCCTTAATGCACTCACATACATGGAGATCTCCATGGCTCTCAAACCATAGGCTCACTGCAAAACCCTAAAATGGTAGGCATGTGATATCTGGGTTAGTTCACGAGGACACCCCTCTCTTTTCAGTCCATCAGAGAGGTGCATGTGCCTGTGCATGCGACAAGACTGCAAAGAGCAAGGCAAATGGCTGCTGAATCTTTCTGGGTTCGGTTATCATGGTCGTGATGGACTTCCCTCTGCTTTCCTGTCCAACGAAGGTTGACAGAGGCCACCAACGAAGTTATATTCTTCCTTGCAAGAGCATTCCATCCCATCAACTTCAACCTCCTTCGTCTCTCCCTTTTTCCCTGAGGAGATGGTGAGCAATAGCCGTTCCCCATCACTCACTAATTAAGAGCCTCCTCCTTTGTTCTTTCTTAAGCTTACTTCGTGTTTCTCCTGTGCTTTCATTTCTCCGACAGATATGCTTGGTCTCTTTATACATGGATGTGGGTTTTATGTCTCAGTCGTGTTATCCAAAGAAGGAAGGGATTCTTCTTTTCGGCATTGCTCCATGTTCAGAAAGTTCATCCTCTGTATTCCCTTTCGGATCACAATGAAGCCTCCTGAAGAGCAGCTGTAGCTGCATTTGTTAGCTCACAATAGATAAGCATGAAATCAACTCTTCTCTGTGTTTCTACGTGATGCAGAAGTTACGGAAGAATCAAGGAATCTCTTGCTCTTACCACACACATCTCATTAGAACTCATACCTCTTGAAATATTCCCTGAAACTATTGCTTAGTGAGCTAACTTTTTCTCTAAGAAACCATCTTATTTCAGCTTCAAGGCACTGATTGTATTTAGTTCATGGCCTTCTTTTCCTGCAACAAGGATCACTCAACTGTGATGAGATTAAAGGCATCACTGGCTCTTCTGCAACAAAGAAGACTTAAATGTGATGTCAAATGTGGTGCCGCTAGGAGCTATGATGAGGATCAAGACCACTGCAGACATGCCTCGATCTGTTTGCAATTTGCTTTGCGCAGACTTGTCTAGCCAAAGAAGGCTGGCAAACTCAGTGGTCCTCCAAGCATGAGTGGATGTCTTAAAGAGGTTATGATGGTCCCTGGGCTACTTGGTACCTTGTTAGGGTTTCAATTATACATGCTTTCATGGAAGATATATATACCTACAAGGTCAAAATACACACTTCCATCAGCTTGACTCTGCAAAAACTATACAAGGATGATCCATGTTTAACTTGATTTTGGTTGCTGTCATACCTTAAGAAATCAACTCTTGCTACCGTAGTTTGTTTGACTTCCATCTGTCATGTAAAATGCACCAAAGAGAAAAATATGCCCATAAGAACATGATATTATGGGAGTAAGTTGACTTTGTTACTGTAACATGCATAATTCATATGTATGTATGTATGTATGTATGTATGTTACTTATCAAGCTATTCACGACGAAAATGTCTCTATTTGAACATTTTCATCATGCTTTTTGTCTCTGTACAGATTGAAGAATAGAGACTCTTCTGAAACAGATTGTTTGTACATGATGAAAAATACATGTAGCAGACCAAATTACCCCTGTTGATGAAACAGTAGTTGCTAGATATGCTTGAGCTACAAGGATAAAAGTAGTGACTTATCTATCAACTTGATAGGCATAAATATCCACCACATGTTTGCAAATGGGCTGCACCTTTTTATTTTCTCTTTTTAGGGTTCCTGCAAACACAGCATCTGAACAAGATCAAAGTGCATAACCTGATGGAGTTGCCTGCAAATTTCGAGATGAAATCCAACCTAATATGAAGGCTGAGCAAACCTGGAGCAAATTGGAGGTGAGGGTTTGCCGACTCCTGGATTCTTCCCCGATAGCTTGATTTTTGAGTTTTGGAAGAAATTGAGTTCTTAAGTTGTTCTCACTCTTCTTCGTTACTATATTGAACTAAGAAGAGATAGTTCTTGCATATGAAATAGTTTATTGAGATCTTTGTATGCCTTCTTCTCTCTTTTTAGAGAAAGATTGAATCATAAATAATCCTTTTCATTTTGCTTAGGTAATATGGTGTCTTAGATCTATGTATCTAAAATCTAAGAGTTCAATTCTTAATTGTTCTTCTTGAGAATTTTCAGAAATAAATCAAAATTCAGCTTTCCTCTCTCTCTCTCTCTCTCTCTCTCTCTCTCTCCCTTCATATATTGTGAGAAAAATAAATTTATTATGCTTATGCTGTGTATAAGCAGCATCTTTTTTGTATCTCTCCTTTTGTGTAGATGCATGCTTGATATGCTGCATAAATCATATGATATTGATCTTTAATTTCTAAAGATCCAGTTAACATAACTTGATTTATAAAGATCCAAGCTAGATAAGTTGTCATATGTATTTCAACAAATAACACTAGTAGATTTCTCTCTCTTTCTCTCTCTCTCTCTCTGTCTCTCTCTCTCTCTCTTCAATTTAGATGAAAGAAGTATATATGAATTATCTAGTAACTGATGATGAAAACAGTGACTTAAGATGATCCAAAACTCAAGAGAAGGAGAAGCTTTCACCGAGCAAGGTGTTGATGATAAGGGTCAAACAAGTTCGAGAGCATGGTCGGCACTCAGAAATCCAAGAATCGTGCGAGTGTCAAGATCCTTTGGAGGAAAAGATAGACACAGCAAGGTGACAACTATAAGAGGTTTAAGGGATCGACGCATCAGGCTATCAGTGCCCACAGCAATCCAACTGTATGACCTTCAGGATAAGCTTGGTCTGAATCAACCCAGCAAAGTCGTGGATTGGCTGATCAATGCTGCTCAGCATGAGATCGATAAGCTTCCCCCACTGGAAATGCTGCAAGGAGATCTCACTCAGTTCCCTCAGTCTGTGGCAACTCCAGCTTTCTTTGGCCACACCGTTCCTGATGATGGTGAGTTTCTTCCCAGAGATAAAGCTCATCGATTAGCATCATCATCTAGTTTGGCAACTGCTGATATCTTTAACAGCAACGTTGTGCCAAGATATGTCAGTAACAGTTTAGATGTTCTTATGGGGAGCAAAGAAAAGGAAGCATTGAAGGAAACCCGTGGCGTTGTGTTGGAGAACGGTGCAGTCACTTACAGTCCTTTCTATCATTTGGAGCCACCAAATGCTTACTCTTCTCTTGCTCAATCCGAAGCACCTCATGGTTACCGCCCGATTGCGATACTTGCATCACACATGGCGCAGAACATGGAATCAAAGCAGTATGGCCACGTTCAGATGGCAAGCCCAGCATCAGGAAGTGTCCCCCTAAGAACTTCTCTGCATGCAGGTATCCCTAACTTGGTGGTTCTCCAACAAAACAGTAGTGTCTTCAAGCACCACCCTCATGATCACTAGCATAAGAATAAGCAGCGTGTACTCACAACTCAGTAATGTTCCTTTTCTCCATGTACTGGAAATGCTGGCCTTATAAGTATTGGATGTGGCATATAAAGTTTTTGTGTGTTTGAAAGTAGAAGAAGAAGATTTATATATAGGAATTGTTATGTGTGTGTGTGTGAGAGAGAGAGAGAGAGAGTGTGTGTATGTGTGAAATTTCCAGCTGCAATTGTACTCCATTGCTGCATACTTGCAGTTATATATACAAAGCATGGCACACATTCCATCATAGCATTCTAACAGTAAAATTTCTATCACATATTGCAAATAGCTGCATCAGTCATGCATACTTGATGCTTCTAAAAGTACTAAATGATCTCATAAAACCTATCTGCAGTTACCAAGCCATTTAAAGTCTTATCTGACAGATGAGATATGATACTGTTGCTTATGTTCTGATGCTTAATAATGATAAATGAGAACATTAATCATTTATGCTATCATATGTGGAACTGAACTTAGTTAATGAGAAATTACATGTTCGTAAGACTCGAATATGCTGAATACTCTCAGCTTAGGCTTCCAACAGCGATAGGAATAGTATTTGTTGAAAGCAACTCTTCTTTTATCTACTACACAGAACAACAGATAAGCAGATTTACATCATGTCTCGGTGACCATCGCAGCTCCATCTTTATCTAGAAATCCTGATCACTTCCATCACATATCTTAGGTATATGTGTCACATCCATTAATACCTTTGTCTTCCCCTCATCAATGTTCAGATGTCATTATGTATTAACTGCGAACAATCCACTGTGATCCGTTGTGATAACTTGTCTTCGACCTGCACCCTTGTGTTCTTCACCAAGACAGAAGGGATAGATATCACAGTGATCATCATAACTTCTTAAGACCAAAGGAAATAGTACAGATTGTGGTGGGTTTGCAAAAGATGCATGGGAAGTGGCACGTTGCCTTTACATGGTAGCCAGTGGTCCAATGGACCACACTAATGCTTAGGATGGACCTTAATATATGTTTTGCTTTTTCCTATCTTTGATATTCTTTCGTGTTATTTATTTTATCATGCGCCATACATGCATATTAATATAACATATTTTGATATTCATCTCACGTGACACATAAGCTACCATAGACTCAACATGGTGTTCCTAAGTTGATGTGTCGCATCGAGCCAACTCGATACCATGAGCCTGAGGCCAATCAGTCATCTGACACCATCCCCTTGTATTCACTCCGCTCGAGGCTGTGCGAGGAGACGTGACCATGTATCGGGTCACACAGGAGGTAGGAAGCAGCGTTGAACGAGACTGAATCGAGCATAATATCAGACGGCGTCTACACCCAACACATGGGCCCACCACCTGTGACATCTGCGAGCATTAAACACCCATGTACGATGATGATCGAGGAGTATTAAAGCTGCTACATACGATTGCATGCAAGAATAGATATAAAAGCCACCCCCAAGAATAGTGCTGGGGTCAGACCTCATACACACATACACTCCAACTCTCCTATCTCAAACTCTTGCTAACTTAAGCATCAGAGGGATTGAGTCAGGAATCCCCCTCCCGATTTCGACTTGTGTGTAGGTACCCGAGGGAAAGCTAAAAGAGTGATATTTAGCCTCCACTTGGGAGAACGAGGCCTATGCCCCTCAACCAAACCTCGGGTTAACATACTCCGGCTCAAAGATCATGCTGGTGATCTTGCACACTCGGGACAGGCCTAGCCATGCTAACACCTTGGCCACAGCATAAAGGTGCAAAATATTTTTGGTGATAGAAGGAAGGCCCATGTCATATTTTTGGTGATAGAAGGAAGGCCCATGTCATAAGAACGCCAATCGTCGACCAACCTTGGCAAACATCCCCGAGAAGAGACACATGCAACCCCCTCCACTTTCGGCCTCAAGGGATAGCTCCCCCTCCCTCTGCACGTGGATGGAAATGCTGTATCCTAGACCTCGAGCCACTATTGGAGGTTGCTTCACAACCCCGGGCTTTCTCCCCTTACAGGGAGCATGGGACATCTTATCATCTCTACTAAGGGGCCTCGCCCATTAAGTCCAAGCTTTGACTAAGATGATGCAAACCATCATTCCCCTCATCCCCTATCTTGCTCAATTGATAGTGCTGCCACAACTGCCCTTGCCTACGACCCCACCAACTCTCTCCCTTACGCCTTAGGACCCTCCCATGGTTGATCGACAACTCTGAGCGACGAACACTTGCCCACCAAATGAAGAACAGTTAGGAGGGCAGAGACTGACATCGAAGCACGGTACCCTAGAGGCCCCACGAGTCACCATAAGTTGTCCAGAGCCAAACACTCTGCTATTTGACTCGACGAACTCTTTCAGGGCTTAGCTATGCCTGGTTAGCTGATACCTAAATGAGGTCCAAAGAGAGTTTTGCAAGTTGAAGGAAGAACATTAGGGAGACACCTTCAGGGGATCTCCTTTGTCCTAGAGATCCAGGATAAGCCGATTCCCCTCAATTTTCACCTCCTGACATTAGAGGCCTACGATGGCAGCTCCGACCTGGTGGAGCATGTCACCACCCTTTGATCCCAAATGGCTTTGTACAGCATTCGATGCTTTAATGTGCTGAGCCTTCCCCATCACCCTCCGAGGTCCAGCTCAGATGTGGTACAGTAGGTTGAGGCATTCTTTAGTCTCATCCTTTATTCAACTCACAAGAAAGTTTAAGGTCAACTTCTTGGCCAGCACCTAACCCAAGTGTAGTGAAATTTAGAGGTGACATCACATGCACAACAAAAGAACAGAAAATAAAAACCCCAAATTTTCCAAAAAGGTGTTCATTATCATACAAAAAATTGTGCATAAAATCTGCAAAACTAAAAACCACACGTGAGATATTTGTGTTACATAGGGAGATCATATATCCCTAAAACCTTACAGATCTGTAGGAGATGATAAAGGAGGTCAAGCATCCTCATCTCTAGTGGTGATTCACATAGCAGGGCTATGACAATGCTCCTCGAACCATTGCCCAAATCTCCACACTTGCTATCTAAGAAGGAGAAGGAGAGAGGAGAATAGGAGGTGGCAACCAAGAAACCTCTAGTCTAAGGGTGTTTGGTTTTCTCCTATTTATAGAGGTCCTCCTGTCAACTTAACTATAATGGATCCTGCCCTATTGAGTATTAGATCTCCATAAAACTACCTAAGCCTCTTAGATTTGTGGATCTCTATCCAATAATCTCTTATTGACTCTTATTGAATCCCATTCATAGGATCCAATAATTCAATGGCTCATTAGATATCTAATAAGATAGGGGCTCCGACGGATATCTCATATATGAACCTCTACTCATCGTAACGTCTAGCATATATATGTGATCCTCTAGGCCTAATATCAAGTTGGCTATGAGTTATACCTGTTCGAACTCCTTTTGGCTTAGTGAATTATTATCTCTATAATAATTCACTCGACTCATCGACTATGGACGTACTAGGCTACTACGTTGCAATCCCTAGACGATACAGGGGAATTCAATCCATTGGATATGTTTGTCTTTAGTTACCATATATCTATAGTCCCTCATCCATCTAATACCTCAGAGACCAAATACTAGGCATGGTACTGTCAGGCTCATATAGTTTCCACTTGAGTCTTGCTCTAATTGGATTCTCTCGGAGAACTTTTTCTCTCTCAATCTGAATGACATTGGCTAGGGATTTATCTAAGCAAGAATATATGAGATATTCCTCTCATGACACCGAGAGTGAATAATCCTCTATCGACACTCAATAATCCTTATAAGGTTGGCTGCCACTCCCATTGACCGATTGTGCTAGATCTGGAACTTCCAGACAAAGTCTGGTATCAAAGAGTGTAGTGCTCATACAAGACATCCTTGGTATCTCAAGTCTAAGGACCAGGTACACCATTGGAATAATAAAATCGATGTTTAACAATGAGGTATCATTAACTATATAGCATTCTGTGAGTGGATCAATTAGTGAACTCATTCTTCAATGAGCACATGTACTGCAGCCCTAGTATCCTCACACAAGTAGCTATGAGACCAACTGCCTCTATCATATGGATGGATATATAACACAACAATCTATCCGATTATCTCGATGTTCCTCTCGAGTAACCTATGACTAGGATTATTTAGGGTCTATGTTTAAAGGTGAATCGGTCTCATTATCGTGATCTCATTACAATTTGATTCTCATTGCATAGATCCATAGACATTACAATATATTCATGCAACAAGTAATATAAAATGAGAAAATATTATAATAATAATACATAAAAAGACTGTGTATCATGTCACATGTGTTATCACTCATGCGATTGGCTTGTAGGGCACCTATGACTAGCAATCTCCCACTTACAGTCAATCATCTCTAGGTCTGATCCTCATCAGACCCCTATGACGCTTAAAGATAATTTGAGACAATGGCTTTATTAGTGGATATGTGATGTTATCTTTGGATGGAACTCTTTCTACTACTATATCTCCTCAGGCTAGGTTATCTCTAATAAGCTAGAACCTCCTTAGAATACTTCTAATGAGACCCGGGTTCTCTCATTTGAGTAATCACCTCGTTGTTGTCGTAATATAACGGAATCGGCTTCTCGCTGCTCGGCATATCTCCAAACTCTCTCATTTACTGTCTCTACTGCAACAATGTACTTTGCCTCTATGGTCGAGTCAACAGTAGTACATTGCTTGGAACTCTTTTAGCATACTACTCCTCCATTCAAGATAAACACATACCCCGAATTAAACTTACTATCATCGACATCGGATTAGAAACTCGAGTCAATGTAGCCTTCAACCCGGAGGCTACTACCTCGATATACTAGTAAAATATCCTTAGTCCTTCTCAAGTACTTAAAGATACACTTTATTGCTTTCCAGTGCTCCAAGTCTGAATCCGTCTGATTCCTACTCGTGATACTTAGAGCATGCACTATATTAGGCTTGGTACATAACATGACATACATGATAGATCCTATCACTAAGACATAGTGTCATGGACAAACTTCTAAACAGGATGTTTGATGTAATGCTTATGTATGTCCGTGTCTTTTGGTATGTTCATGCTCTGCACAGCATATAGAGGGACGGCCGAAGGCTTAATAGTCTCATTTTAGTTAGGTTGGTAGCCGCTTTAGGCTTGTAAATAAAGGTTGTGCCATGTGGACACATGCAAGAGATTTTCGATCTATAATAGAACATTTTTACCCTTTGTTGTGCAACTGTTC